TGTGGTTCATATGCCGACTGCATAGCCGCCAACTGTCCTTTTTCTGGGCTGTTTAGCTACTAGTAGCGTAACCATAAAAAAGCAGCTTATACTAGCTTTATGTTACAGAACTTCCTATAAATTGCAGCTTTCCTGATTTTAAAACATTAGTGTACAGGAGAAGCAGTGAGGTTACCCTCCTTCAACCAATAACATTTTTGTTCATTCTCTTTCTTACTTGAGAAACATGAGTGTGTTTATGTGATTTGAGTTTTGTGGTATCCAGTTTTTGCTGATGTCAAAATTATAGGTTACTGTAAATGTATAAAATGTGAAAAAAAAATTTTTTTTGTCTGAAATAATCAAAGGGTTTAAAATATTAGGTCTAAAAGATGTAATTATTTCCGAAAGTTGCGTGGTATGTGACCGAAGACTAATGCAAACAAATTTAACGGTTTCTGTATCCGAGGCCCTGTAATATGTTTCTGAGTAATCTAACATAGTTGTGTGGCTGTAAAGGATGGTACTACACCACCAGCAGCCAACAAGAGACTACACAGCATCGTTATCAGTAACCAACATACAAATGTGAGCCACACTGTTCCTTATCACATATACACATGCATCATGAACCAAGGAGTCACTAAAGCCCTCAATTCATAAGGTAACCTACTGTACATAACTCTAAAATTCCCCGCACTTTGGAGAAAATATACACCAATGTGTTAATAAAATTTGCTGCCACCATAAAATACAAAGATTATACATACAAGAGTAAAATTATATATACTGTACACTCTTAGGTGGAGCAACGTATACTTAATTATCATGTTGGTACTCTGTAACAAACCCAAAATGAAACTAAAGTAAGATGCCAATATCTGTGAAAAAATGTTCATTATTCATCACAGATATAAGTCCATAAGGTCACTAGTGCAATAGCCAATATTCTTCAGATACACCATAGTGATTGTGCAAATCTTCCAATCCTCCACCACTGTGTGACAAGTATTCCCCACTCCCCAAAAGACACCACAATCACCGGAGGTCATTGTCTCTTATTTTGCTGATTGGAAAATAACTCTTTAAAGATGTTCTCCTTCACGGACACTGTTCCTTTAAACCAGTGGTCTCCAAACTGCGTCCCTTTGCTTGCTTTTATTCCACCCCAGGGGTATTATTCCCCCCCACTGTTAGCAATAGTGGGGCATGGTTCCTGCTACTGACACAAACAATGAGCCACTATTCCTTCCACTGACAACAATGATGGGGCAACTGACACCAATGATGGGACGCTATTCCTCACATTGATTCAAATGATGAGGCACTATTCCTCCCACTGACACCAACGATGGAGCATTATTCCTCCCACTGACAACAATGATGGGGCACTATTTCTCCCATTGACACCACAGAAGGGGCACTATTACTCCCCCTAATACCAATGATGGGCACTATTCCTCTTACTGACATCAATGATGGGGCACTATTCCTCCCATTGAAACCAAAGAAGGGGGGCACTATTACTCCACCTAATTTCAATGATGGGGCACTATTCTTTGTACTGACACCAATGATGGGGCACTATTCCTCCCATTGATAGTGACAAAGAGCCTTATTACTTCCTCTTAAAATTAATGATGGGATCCTCCCAATAGCACCAAAGAAGGGGCACTATTCCTCCCAATAGCACCAAAGAAGGGGCACTATTACTCCCCCTAATACCAATGATGGGGCACTATTCTTTGTACTGTCACTAATGATGGGGCACTATTCCTCCCATTGACACCAAAGAAGGGGCACTATTACTCCCCCTAATACCAATGATGAGGCACTATTCCTCCTACTGACATCAATGATGGGGCACTTTTTCTCCCATTGATAGTGACCAAGAGCCTTATTACTTCCTCTTAATACTAATGATGGGGCACTATTCCTCCCAATGGCACCAACGAAGGGGCACTATTACTCCACCTAATACTAATGACATAGCACTATTCTTCGTACTGACACCAATGATGGGGCACTATTCCTCCGATTGACACTAAAGAAGGGGCACTATTACTCCCCCTAATACCAATGATGGCGCACTATTCCCTCCTACTGACATCAGTGATGGGGCACTATTCCTCACATTAATAGCAACAAAGAGCCCTATCACTCCCCACAATACCAATGATGGGGCACTATTCCTCCCATTGACACCAACCAAGAGGCACTATTACTCCACCTAATACCAATGATGGGGCACTATTCTTCGTACTGACACCAATGATGGGGCACTATTCTTCCCATTAATAGCAACAAAGAGCCCTATCACTCCCCACAATACCAATGATGGGGCACTATTCCTCCCATTGACACCAACCAAGAGGCACTATTACTCCACCTGGAATTGTTTTAATACCAATGATGGGGCACTATTCTTCGTACTGACACCAATGATGGGGCACTATTCTTCCCATTAATAGCAACAAAGAGCCCTATCACTCCCCCCCAATACCAATGATGGGGCACTATTTCCTCCCATTGACACCAACCAAGAGGCAATGGCACTCCCCCTAAAACAAATGATTGGACATTGTTTACTACTACTGATGCCAGGACACTTTCTTCTCTTTTCCACTGACCATAGTCCGCCCCCCCCCCCCCCCCCCCGTATAGTTTGAAGGACAGTATTCTGGACCTCTGTTTAGAAAGTTTGGAGACCCCTGCTTTAAACCATCTCCATCAGTTATCTATAAATTTTCTATGCAAGAAGAATTTCAAACACAGCAGAACAGGAAGGGGGAAGTCAGTTCGTGATGATGCTTGCCATACATATTTACAGTAGCATGAATTGGAGAAAGATCTTGAATCTGTGCAATGGCAATGTTCATATTGCATATATATGTAAAACATACTGCATTTCTTCCAGTGATAATACAATATTTTGGTGGACCATGAAATGTCCAATGGCATCTACAGTGCAACCACCACTATGAAGGATCTCTCATTAACTACCTGCCGACCGCAGATAACCGAATGACGGCTAAACTGCGGCCGGCTAGTTCTGAGTGGACGTCATATGACGTCCTCCCAGAACGCGCTCTCCTGCGCGCCCCAGGGGGCGCGCACCCGGCGATCTCCGTGATCGCTGTGTCCTACGGACACAGCTGATCACGTGATGTGGTAAAAGGCCAATCACAGCGGCCTTTTACCACTTGATCAGCGGTGTCCAATGACACTCTGATCACAGGGAAATGCAAGTGCCGGTTCTCGGCTGCACTTTCCTCACGCTGTCAGATCGTGAGGAAAGTACTGCCGAGAACCGGCAGTTGTCAGAGCGGGGATCGGCACCGATCATCAGGGCACTGATGATCAGTGCCCTGATGATCGGTGCCCAGCAGTGCCACCCGCAAGTTCCGCCCACCTGTGCCCAGCAGTGCGCCCACTAGCTCCGCCCACCTGTGCCCAGCAGATCACCCACCTGTGCCCAGCAGTGCACCCACCTGTGCCCAGCAGTGCACCCACCTGTGCCACTCTGCAGTGTCACACACCTGTGCCCAGCAGTGCCACCCACCTGTGCCCACCCACCTGTGCCCACCAGTGCCACCCACCTGTGCCCACCCACCAGTGCTGCTGCCCACCAGTGCCACCCACCAGTGCAGCCCAGCAGTGCTACCAGTCAGTGCCACCAGTCAGTTCCCAGGGGTTGTGCCAGTCAGTGCCGCCAGTCAGTGCCCAGCAGTGATGCCAGTCAGTGCCGTCTATCAGTGTCACCTATCAGTGCTGCATATTAGTGCCGCCTATCCGTGCCACCTCATTAGTGCTGTCTATCAGTGCCGCCTATCCGTGCCACCTCATTAGTACTGCCTATCAGTGCCCTTTAGTGCTGCCTATCAGTGCCCATCAGTGCCGCCTATCAGTGCCCATCAGTGCTGACTCATCAACGCACATCAGTGAAGGAGAAAAAATACCTGTTTGAAAATTTTTATTTTATAGCGCAAAACGTAAAGCGCCCAGTGGCGATTAAATACCACCAAAAGAAAGCTCTATTTGTGAGAAAAAAATGATCAAAATTTCATATGGGTACAATGTTGCATGACCGCGCAATTGTCAATCAAAGTGCGGCAGCGCTGAAAGCTGAAAATTGGCCTGGTAAGGAAGGGGGTATAAGTGCCTGGTAGGCAAGTGGTTAAAAGAAAAAAGAACTATCCAATATCATCTCTTAACATTCGTATACATCTGAATCTCAGAATGAAAGAAATACCACATCAGCTCATGCCATTTCTTTTTTTGGGTTGGACTACCGCCTGAAAATATTGAATATTTTCGATTCAATAATATACCAAAGGTCATTGGCTCAAATCCCAACCACAGCACCACCTGCCTGGAGTTTGCATGTTCTCCCTGTGCCTGTGTGGGTTTCCTCCCACACTCCAAATACATGCTGGTAGGTTAATTGGATCCTGTATAAAATCGGTCCTAGTATGTATGAATGTGAGTTAGGGACCTTAGATTGTACACCCCTTGAGGGTTAGGGACTGATGTGAATGTACAATATATATGTAAAGTGCTCTGTATATTGACGGCGCTATATAAGTATCTGAAATTAATATAATAACTCCAGTGGTGGTGCCGCCCGCCGAATGCAAGCCACATCATTTTGGCTCCACCAACAAAGTAGAACATCACAACTGTGGTACGTGTACAGCCTTCAGCAACTGCATGTCAGTGTATAGGCAGGCAGTCCGAGGGAGGAGTGGGGGCTCAACCACCTGCTTTTGTCCCCCCCCCCCCCCCCCCCCCCCCCATGGCCACCCGTGTGACTGAACCCTTAAAGTCAGATCAAAGAAAACAACTGCTGATTATCTGCCATGTGTTACTTGTTGCATCTTGCTCTTACGGAATATGCCCAGTGCAGAAGAACATGAGTCATGTACAAATGGATCCCGTAATGATCTGCTTGTCATTAATGAGGTAACCCTAATGCCAAACACAGAACAACTGCAAGTTAGATGATTAAAATGAACACTTACATATTCCTTTATGTCTTTGGACTTTACAGCCTTGTAGGAATAATAGGCAGGATAAAGAGTGCCAAAGATCAGCCTGCAAAAGAGAAAGAAAATATGAGCACAAAATATTCCTGCAGTGACTGCAGCAGGGTCAATGTAACAAGACAACGCCATTATTCTGGTACAGGTTGGACAATGAGAGCGACGGTCAGACTGGCAGCCTGTGCACAGCTAGCATTTAGATTGGGAACATGTTCATAACTTTACCTCCTGCTACATCACCTGCACAGCATTACTATTACAAAAAAAGCTCTGTGGTCATTCCAAAGAGATATATGATGCACTGGCCCATTCAAACCACCCATAATATCAGCGTGTAATGGTCCTTTAAACCAGTACAGGACGGCAGGGCTGTGCAAAATCACGTATATATATATGCGATCTTTCATTTCCAAGTAGGGGGCTCCATACTCGCCCCACTACTGGCTCCTCAGCATGTCAATCACTGGGTCCCCGCCGCCGATTCTCGGCCCAGGACTCGGTGATCATCGACGGAGCTGACAGAGGAGAGGTCTGTATGTAGACAACACAGATCTCTTCCCTGTCAGCACGAACAGGCTGCTTTGTGTTGCTCTGCACAGCACAGCAATACAAAGCAGCATGTCTACGAAGTAAAACACACACAGCACACTGTTACCCCTTTGATCGCCCCAAATGTTAACCCCTTCCTGCCCAGTGTCATTAGTACAGTATCAGTGCTTTATATTAGCACTGATCACTGTATTAGTGTCACTGGGGATGTCAGTGGTAGTTAGTCAGTTCCCCCCCAGTGTAAGAATGCCTGCCGCAGTCCCACAATAAGTCGCTCATCACCGGCATTATTAGTATAGAAACATTTTTTTCTTTTTAAATCCAGTATATATACCGCCATTTGTAGATGCTATAACTTTCACCTACACCAATTCATTTACACGTATTCTTTTTTTTTTAAAAGACATGTAGCAGAATACATTTTGGCCTAAATTTATGAAATTAGATTTTTTTTTTTATTGGATATGTTTTATAGCAGAAAGTCAGAAATATTGTTTTTTTTTTTTTTCAAAATTGTCGGGTCTTTTTTTGTTTATAGTGCAAAAAATAAAAACCACACAGGTGATCACATACCACCGAAAGAAAGTTCCATTTGTGGGGAAAAAGGACACGAATTTCATTTGGGTGCAGTGTTGCATGACCGTGCAATTGTCAGTTAAAGTAATTCAGCGCCGTGTCACAAGAAATGATCTGGTCAGGAAGGGGGGTAAATCCTCTGGAGGGCAAGTGGTTAAAAAACAGTCAAGCATGAGAAAGCAATTCATTTAAGTGTGATGGGATTTATAATTGTCTATTGCTGCTTAGTAATAATGCAAAGTGCCATCAGTTACAGAATATTTTCTTGTACTAGATAACAGATTTGTTTGTCTATGGCCATTTTATAGTCCCAGAAGGTCTGGCGCAGGGTCTTTTTTTTCAGGTACTTAAAGGGTAACTCCACTTTCATGGGAAAAAAATATAGTAAATATAAAAAAAGACATAGCATATACATTTGCTACATAAGCCATGTTGTAATTTATTGTTTTTAAAAATTAGCTTTCCCTTTCAGTCTGCAGCTGCAGTCATGGCATGGAGACATTCTGCACAATGGTGGTGTACAGAACACCCCCAGAAAAGTAATTTCCTGCTTCTGTGATTTTATCACGGATTTTCCCAAGATACAGGTCACATTTTAGGCACCCCTGCAATAGAAATTTCAATTTTGCTGAGATACTACCTTAGGGTTAAATACTCCTAAAGTGATGCCGACCTTTTCCCTATTCAAATCAGAACACTGAGAGTGCACCCGGTGAGTTTAATGAACCTGGCGGTCCTATTCAGGCATAAGACATGGTCAAACAATTATTTCCTCAGAGCAACAAAAGCTAAGAATCTGGTGACTGTTTTTCTCAACACAAGTGGAGTTAAGCTGGTCATAGATGGATCCCTGCTGAACTGGCTGGGCAGCACAGTGGCTAAATGGTTAGCACTTCCACCTAGCAATACTGGGGTCGTTGGTTCCAATCCCAACCATGGCACCACCTGCCTGGTGTTTTGCATGTTCTCCCTGTGCCTGTGTGGGTTTCCTCTGGGTACTCCAGTTTCCTCCCACACTCCAAAAACATGCTGGTATGTGAATTGGCTCCTGTCTAAATTGGCCCTAGTATGTGTATGTATGAATGTGAGTTAGGGACCTTAGATTGTACGCCCCTTGAGGGTTAGGGACTGATGTGAATGTACAATATATATGTAAAGCACTGCATAAATTGATGGTACTATATAAGTACCTATAATAAATAAGTGGCTGAGTTTCAATCCATCTATGGGCAGGCTGGTTGTACTGAAGTCAATTTATCGATCAACTTCAGTACAACCAGCATGTTGTTTTTTTTCTCTGTGTGGCCATTGCTGGTGGCTATAGCTGCCATCAGTGATCATTGTGTTCTGCTGCAGGGAAGGCTCCTTGCTGGCAGAACACAATAGTGCTCTGGGAGGGATTCCCCCATCAACACTGACTGTGTTGGTGGGTGAACAAAACAATTTTCTTTTCTGGAACCTGTGACTGCAGGAAAGAAAATTGTATAATGTATTGCCTGGTTTACTCTTTAAAGTGGATGTAAACCCCCACTGGATACTTATAATAACACTTACCTGCAAAGAATATCTCCTAAACATGCACTGTTTAGGAGATATACAGTGTCCCTGCAGATGATGATGTCACCAGCGCATGCGCTCTGAAGGAATGGCATACCTGTGCCGTTCCTTCAGAGCTTTGTGCCGCGGGAGTGACATCCTAGCGGCTTGGTCAATCAAGTGGCCAGAGCCCGTGAACCTGGAAGAAAGACCGGGTGAAAATTGAAATCCCTGTCAGTGGTGTCAGCATGCCTCTAGAGAGCTTTGTTCTAAGGACTCGTTCACACTTGACTTTATTTCTAACTCTTAACAATAACATATAAAGCCATTTATAACACTGCCCCAAATTACATCACCGATCTTGTCTCCAAAATATCACCTAAACCGTACTCTCCGCTCCTCGCAAGACCTCCTGCTCTCTGGCTCCCTTGTCTCCTCCTCCCATGCTTGTCTCTACGACTTCTCCAGAGCTTCCCCCATCCTCTGGAACTCTCTACCCCAATCTATCAGACTATCGCCTACTCTGCTCACTTTTAGGCAATCTCTGAAAACCTATCTCTTCAGAGAAGCCTATCCTGCCCTCAGCTAATACTGGAATCTTCTACTCTTGCAACCAGTCCATCCCCCACAGTTATTTCCTTTTGTACCACTAGCCCCTCCCTCCTAGATTGTAAGCTCCAAGGATCAGGGCCCTCCTAACCCTCTTGTATTGAACTGTATTGTTGCTGTATTGTCTCCCGTTATATTGTAGCGCTGAGCAAACTGTTGGCGCTATATAAATCCTGTATTATAATAATAATAACTCTTGCCAAACGCCCCTATAATATTTCACAGGCATTAGACAGGCATTTGGGAAGTGTTTTTTATCGTTCCTCAAATGCTCCTTAAATGCCCCATGCGTGGTTTTGGGGTGGTTGATAGGCGTTTGCCAAGCGTTAAAACCACACCACAAATGCCTTTAATGAAGTTAAACGCCTGCCAGGCGTTTGCAGAGCAGCACCATAGACTTGAATAGAAGGCTTCAACTCCTCCTGACTGGACAAGAGGCGTCAATTTTGCCGCGACACAACGCGACGTGACGCTAACGCTTCAGTGTGAACACCATGTGCAGAATTTTCATAGGCGTTTGAGAAGCGCTAAAAACGCTTCCCAAAAGCCTGTCTGACACCTGCTGACAAAGCTAGTGTGAACGCAGCCTAAGATAAGTCTTTTATAATACGCTAGTATGCAATGCATATTAGCACATTATGACATTATGTTGCAGAGGACTTTTCTTTTTTTGGCAGTTTACTACCGCTTTAACAAGATAAAGCATTAAAAAATTCCAGTGGATGACAACGTGTTGATCAGGCAGGAATTGCCTGATTTGGACTCTGGCCAGGTAGAGGTAGGGTGGGTTCCACTCTAGGTCAGTATTGTCACAGGTGGGTAGCCATAAAAGACAGGAAGCGTCGGCCTAAGGTTGGAAAGTTGTGGAAGTGACAGATAGAGATAGCGAGCAAGCTAGCCAGAAATCTGGAAGGTCATATTTGTGTGCAGGCTGGCTGTACCCCTACAGGAAAACCTGCTGCTATACTTTTGTGGCTAGTCAAGGAAATGTATCAGTATAGACTGATTATTGCACGCTAGCCTGCAAACAAAAATACTGAGAATATGGAGTGATCATCAGATATATCTATTGACCTTTTCTAGAGTGTTCTTTGCTCCTCTGTGCCAAATTGTTCTATTATCTAAATTAATTCTTTGAAAAGTGCATGTTGCCTAAATGGAGACCATCTGCCAGCCAGCGTGGCTCCCAGGAGATGTCTTCTCTCCCTGCCTGTGGTAGACAGATGAGTAGTCAATCAGGGATACAAAGGTGTGGGTGGTCTACCACCCTGAGTTACAAGCTCTGCACTGCAAAGCATGAGATTAGACTAGGAGAAAATCTTTGCTCAATTATATTATTTATTTTTAGTACAGGTACTTATCAATTTACGCAGCGCTTTACATATATATTGTATTATATATACCTTTTCTACCACCAGCCCCTCCCTCTTAGATTGTAAGCTCCGAGGAGCAGGGCCCTCCTAACCCTCTTGTAATGAACTGTATTGTTGCTGTATTGTCTCCCGTTATACTGTAAAGTGCTGAGCAGACTGTTGGCGCCATATAAATCCTGTATAATAATAATATATAAATCCTGTATAATAATAATATATAAATCCTGTATAATAATAATAATATATAAATCCTGTATAATAATAATATATAAATCCTGTATAATAATAATAATATATAAATCCTGTATAAAATAATAATAATATATAAATCCTGTATAATAATAATAATATATAAATCCTGTATAATAATATATAAATCCTGTATAATAATAATAATATATAAATCCTGTATAATATAATAATATATAAATCCTGTAT